ACTCAAAGTAGTAACACCAAATTTGACATTTGGCTGAAGTCTGACTAGTCCAGTCACCCAGGCTGAACTGATGACCTTGCTTTTAAAGCAAACTGTAAAGATTTTGAACAGACACAAGCTGCTACACTAAGAAGCATTGAACTTGGCCATCCTGATGCCAGATCTCAGCTACTGGAAGAAATTCACTAAAGCCTAGATGTGAGAATGGTCATTATGCCTTTAGTTTTGAAATGAGTAAAAGCATCTTTGAAAGTAATTGAGTAGCAGCAATTATCTAAATCACTTAGGAAAAATATCTTACATGACATGAATAAAATATGAGATTAACTAAAACTTGCTTAAATGTCACCATGTCACTAGTGGAGTAGCCCAGGGGTTGATACTAGGGTTGATACTGTGTAACATCTCCATCAACAACCTCGATGCTGGGAGAGGGTGTGTATCCTGAGCAAGTTTGCAGCTGTGAGAAAATTGTGAGGAGGGGCTGATACACCGGATAGTTGTGCTGCCATTCAGAGACCTGGACAGGCTAGAAAACCGGGCTTAAAGGAATCTCATGAAGTGGAAATGCATTTGGGGAGGAACAATCCCATGCACCAGTACACATCTGGGAAGCAGCTTTGCAGAAAAAGGACCTGAAGACCCTGGTGGACACAACAAGCTGGACACAAGCCAGCAATGTGTGTCCTTACAGCAAAGAAGGCGAATGATATTCTGCATTAGGAGTATTGCCAGCAGGCTGGGGGAGGTTATCCTTCTCTGTTACTTAACACTGGTGAGATCACATCTGGAGTGCTGGGTACAGTTCTGGGCTCCCCGGTACAAGAAAGATATGGATTTACTAGAACAAATCCAGTGTGTGGCCACAAAGACAATGAAAGGACTGCATCATCTTCCGTATGTGAAAAGGCTGAGAGCGCTGGGACTGTTTAGCCTGGAGAAGAGAAGGCTCCAGGATGATCTTATCACTATTTATAAATATCTGACAAGGGGGAATGAAGAGGCAGCCAGACTCTTCTCATCAGTGTCCAGTGACAGGACAAGAGGCAATGGGCACAAACTAAAAATACCAGATAATTCAATCTGAACACAAGAAAATGTTTTTACTGTGAGGGTGGTCAAACACTGCATCAGATTGCCCAGAGGAGCAGTGGAGTCTCCACCTGTGGAGATACTCAAAATTCGACTGGACATGGTCTTGGGCAACCAGTTCTAGTGGAGGGGGTTGGACTGCTTTATCTCCAGAGGTTTCTTCCAACATAAATGATCTTCTGATTCTGTGAAATAGAAAAGTAACTACATCCTTCCCATAGAGCTCTGTGGATCTATTCTCCAGACTATTAGAAAAAAAAGCATTTATTTTGGTTAAAAAGTGCTATTTTTTCAAACTAGCTAGATCAAGGATACTGGATTTCTAGCAGTATTGAGACAGTAACTAACTTGTATGTGGTTTGCTCCTTTTCGCTTACTTTCAGGGAAAAATCCATCAGCCATTTGCAAGGACTCTGACCTTTATTCAGAATATCTCATACTGTAATCTTAAGTACCCTCAATTTACATAAAAAAATGTACTAGATAAGAGTCTCATTAGCTCCTCATAATGCGTGCACTGATACTAGTTATATTAAAAAGGGAGGTGGCTAATAAGAATGGGATCTGTTCCATTACCACACACTTGTGTGCAGATCTTAATATTACCATTATAACATCGTGTATAAAATAAACTGCCTGTGCACCTTGGTTAATAATCTGGTCTCAGTAGTGGTGCTCACAAGCCATGTAAATATCTGCTACCTAGCCAGCCTCACAAAGCTCCACGCAGGCATGTCTCTAGAAGACTGGGCTTACAGCTTTGAACTTCACTGCACCACCAGAGATTTTGTTGTATCTTGCATGTTGTCACTGTGCAAACGGATACTTCCTCTTCTCCTTACTGAAGGACAGGCTAATGTGCCTATGGCACGATGGGGGAAGAGAAGAGGGAAGTTCGCAAAACAAGTTGTTCGAAAATATTACAAGGAAAATACTGGCTTCATTTGCCTAAAAAATCCCAACCAAACAAAAAAAACCAAAGTAATAAACCCCCCCCCCCAATCAAAAAAACAATGAACTTCCCCCCACCAAAACTCCACAACAGAAATGTTATTCCTTACCTGTATTCTTGATGCTGAATCAGACGCTGAATTTATTTATATCCACTACACTACCTCCTCTGAGATACACAGACAACATTGTACAAGCATCAAAAGACATATTATGATCACATGAAAGAAAGAACAAGCTTATACCATATGTTTCTGCCCACATCAATTGCAAGAAATTACAGGAACATTAAGATAATTAATCTTAAATAACAATTACATTCTAATGTTCCAAGAACAGGCTGGCCATAGTCTATAGTTCCTGGTTATTCACCAGAGGACTCCTTTGTATGTGTTAAGAAAGCATTGAAATGTATTTGACAAGAAAATTCAGGTCACTTTGCAATACAGTAGCTACAAAACATTTATTTTTAAATAAAAACATTTAAATCATCAGGTTTTGTAAAACAGCATGTCAAGTGTTTATCTTAATCTGTGTAGTGTAAGCACCTGCAGTTTTATACTAAAACAATCAACATAATTTATTATTTGGTCAGGCTATTAACTACATCAAAATAAATATACTTTTTACCAAGACAGATCATTTATGGAAAGTTTCTCTGGTGACAAGTGAAATACAGACTGTAAAACCATGATTGCAATAATTTTTTATTTTTCTCTTTTTAATTTCAGTGAAGACTGGCCTATTATTTTAAAGTATAAAAACAATCATAAAGCACTATAGACTATATCTTAAAAAACCTGCATCACAAAAATATTTGAGATGGCTTACCTAAACTGTCTCAGAATAAGAGGTGGAATACAAACTCCTAAATTAATTACAGTGCACTGGGCTGGACATACTGTATGTCCCACTCATGGGAAATTATCCACTGAACAAGAACAGAAACCTTTGATTAATTACAAGAGAGATAAGCCACTGATAAGTGAAAACTGTATAGCTCACAAAGGGCTTTTTATGCTGGTACTATTGATTAAAAAACATAGGGTGCAAAATTCAACATTTAAAATTATATAAACCTTAAAAGTACAGGATAGAACTTAAGTTTACAAGTCAAAATATTTCAGCACCTGAGTTTTCCCTGTAGAAAGCCATGGATGCTTTCTTCAGAAATATGCAATACAATCAACTCCTTTTCTCTCAGTATTACACTGGAATAATTGGTCAAGAAAGAGTTGAAATACACATAATGCTCCAAGATTCTAACTAAGCCTTGAAGATAAATCTGCTATCAAGCTATACTTAAGATTTGATCTATGTGCATTACCTAACTGACTTTAATTCATGAAAACGTTTTGTATTAAAACTGGAATAGACCTCATCTATTAGTGTTCTGATGAAAATAATGTTTAAAGAAAAGACAAACAACAGTACCAACCTGAATCATGTTAACAAAGAACTAAGAATACTGAAATAGAAACAGGTTTGAACAAAATGTAATAATTTAATAACCTGCTATGCAGGTCTTTAGTTTTACAGACAACTAGTGGTTATGTCCTTACTTCTGGTAAACTAATACTTTAAGGAAATCCTTTTTTCACTTTGAGAGCTGGGAAGTTGCATTTTCTGTGTTCTGCTCTGTGTGATTAAGATTCCATGATTTTGTTGTGCATAATTATTAGTCATCCTCAAGGTAGCCACTCTACTGCATATACCAGTCTTAGAAAAGAAACTTTCTTTTTTAATCCCTTGGTTTTGAAGCTTTAAACAACTGTGTATTCTATTTAACAACTGAACTCGCAGACCCCAGAGCAAAGGAGAAGAAAACAGTTGAAACACAGGTCCCAACAAAGTAGTGTTCCGATAGGAATAGTTTTATTCTAACATCTAATTTTATTTATGAAGAGTATTTAAATGTCAAATGATATGCAAAACAAAGACTTCAAATACTAGAATCTGAGGAATGTTACTTTGATTCTAGAAATGCTTTCATCAGGGAAAGTATACTGCACATTGGTTTTATTATTCACTTAGATACGGAAAAAAAAACCCAACTATCAGTGTTATCAAGGTTAAATGTTCCTCCCCCCACAATTAACTACTTGGAATTTTCTGAAACCTTTCTATCACTGAAAACCCATCAAGCATATCTATTTCTGTCCTTTAATTCCTAAAGATGAATAACTGGGCACTCAGTAGTAACTTCAGGAAGAAAAGATGCAGAGATTATACCAAAGGATTTAATATTAAATTATTGCAGTTTTTAAATTCAAGTGCAGTAAAACGCACCATTGGCTCACTTAAAACCAAAACCAATCATCCTTAAAACCCATCATCTTTCCTCAGTACAAGGTGCAGCAGAGTTAAAAAACAAGGAGGGCAAACCCCTCTACCACAAACAAAAAGATCCCAATTCAAGAATATTGTTTTCAGTGCAAACACTGTAGTCTTCAAAAGGTTAAGAGTACAAATATTTAAGTTCCAGTGTATCCTTACCTACAAGGAATGTTGCTTCACATTACAGAGTATGTCAAATACCTTTAATCAAATTGCAATACTAAAAGCCTATCCTCTCAAATCGATATGGTGGCTGAAACCTAAGTGTTTATACAAGCAGTGTAACTTTCTGGAGAAACTAATGCACACAGTTGAAAGTTCTCACAAAAACCAAGGGCAAAGACTGCAAATTCGGCTGCTGGTCCTTAACCAATTTCAGCATCAGATGCCAAAAAGTAACCAGCTACTTAATGAGGAGTGAACAGAGCCTCCTGCACCAAGCATCTTAAATCCCCTGACCCCCTCCCTAATTGCACAGGCCACAGAGGCAAGCTGCAGACAACCACTTCTTAGATGAAACTCTTCTTGACAGAACACAAATTTACGGTATGTCATTCATTTTTTTTCAATGTGCAAATGTTAAATTTCTAGCAAACCCCCTCAAACGTAAAGAAAGGTGGGCATGTAATTTAGTAATTCAAAATATGTTTACGAAGTTCACCTGGAATACTATTGTGCAGCACTGTGCTTTTGGAGTTACTAGCTGGGATTACAAGGAACGTTTGAAAAAGGCACCTACTACACTTTCTTAATTAGCTGCCCATTTTAATAATTTTGGTACTATTTGTCACAGTACATGAGAAAACAGCAGCACAAAGCATTAGGACAAGAATTTTATATTTGTTCCCCTTTAAAAAGCAAACATTTTTAAAATGAAAGGCATTCATGACAGAAACTCTCTCTCCAGTTCATATATAGATGGCCGACAAGTTTTGCTCTTCATTCTACATAAAGGCACAGTACAGTCTCTGTTTTGACCTTCCACATCAATATCAAGTAATGAGGGCATGTGGCAGTTAGTTCTTTCCTCAGTATTTGGCAAGCAGTTAACATCTGGATCCACACTGCCCTCTAAATATTCAGTGTCTTTAGAGTTTGGTTTAATAATACGTGGAATAATCTGCCATGCATCGATTTTATTTCTTAGAGAAGAAGGTCGAGGCCTTGATATAATATTGATAGCGCTTTGCTTTTCAGTTGAAACACCACTGTGATTGCTTCTTTGCTGAACAGACCGAGAGTGCAGAGTTCCAGTAACTGATAGAACTGGTAATGTGGAGACATCATTGGTTGAAGCAAATCCATTAGCTAGGGGAAAGGCCAAACAAAAAAAAGACAATTTAAACCATGTGGCTTTCTGATTTCTTTGACATTTGTAAAACTGGGTTGCCATAAATACATTCATGGAGAATCTCCTAAGAAAGGACCAGCAGTGCTCAAATAAAATTTCTTCATCTATACTCTCTGCTAGAGGCCATAATTACTTATTTTTTATTGCTATAAAAGAGATATATAGAGAAATCATTAACCACCTAGTAACTGGATGAATACTGATATTGGAATAAAGCCCCACAAATTTGTCCGGTTATAATGAGTAATTGCATGTGCACAGAGTACCATGAAGAAGAATATTACACTTAAGACCCCACAGAAAAAGAGTATTGAAATTTAGAACATTTCAAAACCTCATTAATCATGAACTTATCCATTTATATGGAAACCAGATTTAAAGACCTTTTCTTCAGTCTAAATTTTTATCGAGAGCTTAACTTAAGGATTTGTGGAACATCTAACATAACTTCTAGGTCAAGCAAGCTAATGAAAACTTACCAAACTTGTTTTTCTTGAAGTTAATAGATGTGCAGTATTAAAATGATGCTCATTCACCTATGTGTACTGTGAAACTGTATTAAACAAGTGTACTCTCAGTCTCAGGAAGTCCACAACTACATAATACATGCAACTGACAGAGTCTCAGTTTATTTCAGACATAATGCTAATATTGTACATATCATAAAAAGCAGGTTCTTGCTGACATGCAAAGACTAGTGAAACCTGGTCTTACCTGAAATAGGTATCACCTTAACATGAACCATCTCTTCCCCTTAAATCTCCATACGCACACTCCTTAACAGCATACTATTCCAAATGCAGATAGTCCATTCATTGTGCAGATGCTGAGGGCTTACCCACATACAGTTATGGTGGCTCAGCTAACACTTAACAGTTCAACAAAAATCTTAGTAACTCATTAGTGAATGGTTAGTTTCCCTATATTTTTTGTTTCTATACTTAAAAATCCCCTATGTTTTAAATTCTTAATTACCCACCTGTGGTCTGAAAATTGTTCCCATCTGATAGGGTTCGTCTGTGACCCAACACACTTAACTTTGAAGAATCATTTGGCACATTTTGAGATTCTTGATTCAGACAAAGATTAAAAGGCTGATTTTTTAATCGTGTGGAAACTGTGTTAGGAGCCAGCTGCAACCTCTGTTCTCTCTTACTTTCAGAAGTTTCAGATGAAAAGTCATCAGTGGAACTACATGGGCCACAATCACCAAGAACGGTGCTTACAAGAGCATCTTCACTGTCAGACTGAAGTAGGCATTTTGTGGAAATGGAGGGCATAGAGAGAAGATTCACAGTATTTGCAGCTGGATTTAGGGATGGAATACTTGTTTCCTCTTTCTTGGACTGCAATCGTGCAGGGCTGGCACTCCTGCGAAATTTTGACGCACGATGAAATATTCCATCACGCTTCTTCTTCTCATCTTTAGGCAAGAGTTCATCTGGACCCTGTGATTTGTTCAGCTCTCTGATATCTAAGCCCAGGGCAACAGATGCAAGGAGGACAGCACATCCATACAGCACTGAATCAGTCTTCTTTTTCTGCAGTGTCCTGCTTAGGCTGTTTGTAGGTGTCATTTGAGGAGTACTATTTGTAGAACTAGCAGAGGTTCCTTCTTCGAAGCTTTCATGTTCCACTGTATTTTCGCCCTGATCATCTTTCCAAAGAGGTAGATTAATATAGGCCTGATTCGGCAATTTAATTGGCTTTGGTCTTTTACTGTCCAAACCTTCAGGGAGAAGTTTCTTATCAGTACAGATACCTATAAAACATTAACAGTATACTTTAAGATTGTAATTCAGCTTTTTTTCTATTGTATGGCTGTATATGTACACCATTATTTTCTTTCACTTGCACAAAGATTAATCTTGAGGTGTACTGGACACCCTCTTTGGATGCAGTCAGAAGCTCAGAGACACTGCAAGATTTAGAAACACATCCCAAGCCTAAACCTCTTCATGTTCTCTTGATAGTTTTTAAAATAGCAGAAGCACCATTTTGCTACAATTTCATCTTTTAGCAAGTCAAGAGAAAACTGTATTAGAAGTAACTTGCAGGTCAATCTTCTGGAGTATATAAGTTAACTGTAAGCAAATTGTGTGAAAGACCTTTATTTTGAGAGGCATAATGTATCTCTCAACCTTCATGCACTCAACACAGCTGAAGAGCAGATACTGTTTTTGCATTTTCTGTGATATTTTAGGATTTGCAATGCTTTGGTAGTGCTTTTCAAATAAATGGAAAATATTTCCACGTATGGATTACAATGAAGTAATTTACTATACAAACTGCCAGATAAGATCTGGAACATATTCTTTACAATGTTTTCAATTAAGCCATGTTCAAAAATCCAGTGAGTTACTAGAAATTTTTTCCATTTAATTCATTAGGCCATGGTGGTCTAGAGAAAAAAAACCCAATACTCTAATACTCCTCTAACAATAAAATCATTAATGATCATTTAAATGTCAAGACAATTATTTGATTTAGATATTTCCTTTTAAAATAAACTAAGTGGTGACTGCAGACCTCATACAGAGATCAGCCTGAAACTCAAAAACGTGGGGAAAAAAAAATCTCTTATATGGTACTGCTCACACACCAAGTATATTTCTTAGCTGCTAATGGTGGAAATGTGAAGATGCTAATGCATTTTTTTATAGATAGATTTTTTTGCACAGGAAAATTATTTGTAGCATGACTACTCTTCTGATAGTCTGCAAAATCCTTGAGGAATCAAAGCAATACAATTTCTAACACTGGAGGTATACTTAATGCTATTATATGGCAACTTCCACTTTTTCCAAAATAGCTCTTACCTTGGTCCACAAATAGTGAAGCTAAGGGAACACCCTTCTGATTCTTCATTAAAAGGGTTGACCAAGGGTTGCTGCCATCTGAAAGGGGTCTTATTCTGAAATAACAATAGTTATTTTGATATTAAAGAGGATTCCATGCGTATATACATTTTGACAGAAAATTGCTAAAACATCTTTTTTTAATCTATAAACATTTAGTATGTAATTTGAAAACAGTAATGCTTTCCAAAGGTAAGAAACCCTGTATATAATAGCAGAGAGTCACGGTTATAAATTGATTCATGCCTTATGTCAGGCATTCCTTATAAGATTAAAATTTCAGATCTTAAAAGAAAGACAATGAAAAGTGGGCCTTGACTACCTATTGAAGAACAAAAGTTGGTGTAAACCTGGACAACAGTTTCACTGTGTCAAAGAAATGATGTGAATATTGGAATATAGTAAACAAATAACAATATCATAAATTCAGGTTCAATAGATGGTCTGGAACCAACTGCTGCTGCAGGTAAATGAGTGGGTGTCTCTACCATGAAAAAAATAAAGGGGCTATAAATAATGATATATTCTCAAGGGACAAGGAAAAGGCTCTCTTGCTTCAGAAAAACTGCTAATCTCCAGTTTTGAGCAATCAAAAAATAATCTGAAGGTGAAAGTATCTAACTGATTTTCAGAACCATTTCACCCTGTGATTGTCAGTGTAAATGATGTTGCTGGGTGTGAACTGCGTTTCACATAGGCAAAGTCAGTCAGTCAGTCTTATTTAATCGTATTGGAAGTGCCCACTGGGGGCCATGTTTGCAGTACCTCAAGTCAATCTGAGGAAGGGCAAGATAGATAGAGAGGCCATGAATGTCTGGTATACATTAGTAGCTCAACATCCCAGAATATTCCAAGTTTCAAAAACCTGAGACAAAGGGTAATAGAGAAAAACCCACTAAAACCTTAAGATAAGTAAGCATCTTATTCTCTAGTCTATGTGGGGAGCTCCTCATTATTAATGTAATTCTTTAATTAAAAGGTAGGACTGAATTTTAACAGTAACTAGAGACTGCAGAAGTTCTCTCAATACCTACATTAATGATTCAGTTACCAAGAACACTTTGTATTATCAAACAAACCAAATGTAGTAGACATACTTGTCCTTACAATCTGCACGATCCTTTGTTTGAACTGAACTTGGTCCCCATGTACAACCTCTCTTTTTAAAACTTCTTTTCACATCTTCAAACTCTTCTTGGTGAAAAGTTGTGCTCCTTCCCCAAGTTCTGTTGCTTTCATCTGAAGTTACTAGAGATTGGATTTAAACACACAAACAAAAGAAAACCCACACATAAATAGTATTTCTAAAACAAAAATATTTTGATAGAGTATTTTCTGCAAAACCATTTCGACACAGTAACACAACGAGGAGGAGACAAATTTGAGATTTTTTTCTGTTACAGAAACCACCACACAAACTGCACTGATCCAAAAAGATGAGCAAGCAAGAAAAATAATATATGAGCTGACAAGAGACCCAAATTAAAGATAAAGCGGCAAAACAATCACATTTTCCATGCCTCCTTTAACTGAGAACCTTATATTTAGGCAATTCAGACAAGTGAGTTAGACTGAGCACTTAAATTCCAATGAAGAAAATATATGCTGTGGAACAGTATCAAATGAAACAGAGTATTCCAATTGTGACAATGATTAGTGTTTTCTTTCTCACTATGCCAAAACAAATTATACTTTCAAAGCGTCTAACCCTTCATTAAATGCTTAGTCTGTCACTGTCTCAACTGTTAAATTAAACAGAACCAGCACCTTTGAAATGTAATGAAATCTTGCCTTTTTTCATAACCCCACTGGGAAGTTCATATTCACTTGTGATATCTACATCTTGCTGGTACACATATACACTGTTTCTTCGGCCATTAGTTGTGTGTGTATCTGTTTTGGGAATCACTGAGGAAAAATTAAGAGAATGTAGTAGAGATCTTAGTCAAGTTGATTTCAGAAATGGAACTGTTTTGCTTATATTTTTGTCTTTGGATCATAAAGCCCATATCTATAAAGGCACTAAGAGTCTTTTGATAGTGGGTTTTTACTATAGGGTTTAAAGGATCCTGCTTCTAGGACCAGACCCAGGCAAGTAGATTTTCGTATACAACCAACTGTGAAAGTAACTTGCTATTAATGTAGCGTGCTTACACTTATGATGGAGAGACCTAAGAGAAAAACAACTTAACCAGTTATAACAGCATGATAAATGAGGTTGCATTTACATGCCCATGGTTCTGCTGCACTGCACAGTGGCCTCCTCCTGCCTCACCCTACACCTTCTCGTGCTAGCACAGTTTCTCCTGTAGTACAGCACTCTACTTGCCTTCTTCACGTTCCCATTTTGAACCACATTCCAGGACCTATGGAATATATATCTTACTGGTTTTCCTCCTCCCTTTAAAACACCTTTCAGTATCAGCTGAATGTGTTTTAATAACAAGATCTACAATTAACTAGATTTTTATTTTCACTTTAAAACTTCTTAATTTTAAAAACTTTTAGATTTGGAAGCTAGACTCACTCATGACAAAGTGAATTAATCAAGTAACCAATTGTTAGATATGCCTGTTCAAATCATCTGTACTTGAGCAAGTCTTCTTGAAACAAAGACACTTTGAAGTTAAATCAAGATAAAACATTATTGTGGGAAAGAAAATTTATTTTGCACAGGTGCAGATGGGTGTGGAAGGTGAATTGTTTCAGCTAGATACTCCTGAGAGATCTGATAAGCTTTTAGGTAAAGCCTAGGGATCTATACTCAGAAACAGAAGTCTACTACTTTTAAAGGAGAGCCCTTACATTGTCCTGTATGTCTAGCCCTACAAATACAAATGCCTGCTCAAATAAAAAGAAAAAAAGGAAAATTCCCAGTGGCACTTAGCACACTTGCAAGGAGTGGCACTGCTATAGACTATGTAAGGGTTTTTTTTAAACAAAACAAAAACCTCCTAAGTTTTCAGAATCATGCCAATATCTGACACTTGCTTCATTTGCAAGCATTTCCATACAAAGCAAGGAGAATCAAAGATAAAATAAGACAGTTTTCTTTATATGTAATTATGGCATTTTATTAAGTTTCTTACCTTTGTGTGGTAAAAAAAACAACCAATCAAAAAAACCCACCACATGGTTTGAGGTCAAGAAACCATTATCAACACAGATACTGTCAGCTAACTTCTGAACTTCTGAAAAAGACTTTACGTCATTTTCCTTCCATCTCAAATTTTTATTAAGCAAAGGAAGACAGGATTTATCCACCTCTTTCCTTTATCCACAACATATGAGTTGTAATGGTCTTCACCCAGGGAATTGTATTAGTTACAGTTCAGACAAATAATAAAGTTACTGCCAGAAAAGACACTACTTCTCCTTTAGACATCAATAATGAAAAAGATTTCATAAGGCAGAGGTATTCCAAGAGAGATGAGAGATCTGGTTTCTATCCAAAGTGTAAACAAAGCTTCAGGTTGGTAAAAAAAAAATTAAAAGTAATCTTTAAAATAGCTACAGTCAGTAAGCAGAAAAAACATCCCCATACATTTTGACTTCCCCTCCTCCTTATTTACATCTGATAATGCCAGATTCTGAGGTAATTTCCTTCAGAGGTGACTACTCTTGGATGAGAAGATAGTCACTGTCCATAAGCAATCAGCTAGAACAGGTTCCACTGATTTCATACAGAAACTTGAGGCTTTTTCATTTCACATAGCATTCCACACTAAATATGGATAATTAGACAAATCTACTTTGCACAATAGATCAGACAGTACCAACCCAAGCAGTGAATCCTGTAGGAACTGTTTTCTATCTCTACATATATCATTCCCAAATATAAATGCGGACTTCACTGTAATAATGTGATTGGTTTTCTTCCATACTCATGGTAGTTCCACTACATGAGTACTGAACACACCTTCCTTTCTGTCATCAGTACATATGGAGCAATGGAGGCCTACAAGCACAATTTTAGTTTTGTGTCTTTCTATTGGTTTCAAAAAAACCCTGTATCAAGCTTTCTTCTTTATGTCCTTCTGTATTTGCTTAAACCTTGCTTCTCTTTTGACACAAGCAAGCTGGGTTGCTCGTTGATTCTTCAGCCTTTCCATCCTACACGACTCCCTTATTTTCTGAATATTTTTTTCCCTTTTTTTTTTTTTTTTTGATAGTCCATAACTGATTTCCTTTATTGACTTCAGTATCGAATAAAACTTGTTTTCCATCTTACATGGGTTATAAATGTGATGCTTTGCCTTTTGCCATTATAAATTTTGATTCTTCTTTTTTTTAATCCCAGGCAGTTTACAAATGAGTTCCTGGAGTTATTAAGGAAATGCATGATTTAAAGCATTCACAATAATTTTAAGTTAATGAAAATTAGCATTTTAGCAAGATTATCCTTCCCATTAAAGAACAAATTGCAAATGGTAGAACAAATTAAGGGACCTGGAAATCAGACAGAAATCTGTCTGGAATCTGATAATACTGCCAGCATTGCAGTGAGTGTCTGGAACAAACAGTCTCTGTTGACCAAACGAACAAATAGAAATGGTGGAGACTTACACTGTATAGCTCGAAGACGAGGAATTATTGTGGGGCTACTTGATGGACTAGAGCTGTTACTGTTTAAACTCCTCCTCTTATCCAGATTGGGAGATGCCTGCACTGTTATTTTGTGCTGGAAATCTGTAGGAGAGTAAAACAAATCAGTTTTAATTTCCTAAATAAAAATACTTCAGGAGATTATACCACTTTACTACTTTAAAAAAATTAAAGCTATATAATGAATTAGAATCAATAGTGGAAGAGATGCTCATACTAAAACCAGTGACAAAATAACTCTTAAGGTAACAATGTAGATATTGAGTCAGGCAGGATTTCACACCTTCAAAGACACTATATGATAGGTTTGCAGTACACCAAAAAAAAAAAAGCAGGTAGGTCCAAGTAGACCCAAACTGAAACACATCCATATCACAAGTTGTTATTCAATCTTGTTGGTTGTTAGAGGGGTAAGAAATACCTCCACATTTAATCTAAAATCAATCAATATTCATGGCAATCAGAGCTGCCTCTTTTTTTAAACGTGTAATTCATATACAACACAAAAAGTGGCATTAACAAGGAAGTCACATCTATCAACATGTCAGAAAAACAAGACACAAAAGTACAGAATTACTAATATTCATAGTAATGTAAAAAACAAATATTGGCAAGTAGGAGAAAAATCTATATGCCCCTCTCTAATCCCCATCATCAGTGCAATTAGATTACATGCTATTCTTGAAACAGAACTGTCTCAAAGAGAAGTTCATCTGGATGGTTCTTGACAACAAAGAGCTAAATGGTATTCTGAGAGCTATGATATCCTCAGATCTGTGTGAGTGTGGCATTAAGTTCTTACTGCATTAGCAATAAACTGACCTGGAAGCCACTGGAAGGAAGCCTATCAACACCAGGATGCCACTACCATTACTGAAGGCTTTCCAACCATTGGTGTAACCTTGAGTTTCTGTAGTGCCACCTCCTGGTAGCATTAAAAAGGCACCACTAAACCAGACCAACACTAAAAAATCCCTGACTTTCTACAAACACCTCCTTTGCAAAAGGGGCATTTTAATACATTCATGGATAGAATTAAATGCTCTAACATTCAAAATTATACCAGATTTTCACTCTGAAATAGTATGTTCTGTTGCTATTATAGTCTTTTGTTGCAACAAGTAAGGCACTGAAGATTATAACTGCTGTTGTATCTTGCGACTGCAATAAGCATGCAATTTGGACCCACCACACCTGTACCTCCAGCCATTACAAAGTGTTGTTTTTCTACTATTTATCTGCAAGTTTAGGGCAAACAGCCTAACATGGTCAAGTATTAGTAAAGTTCAATAAAACTGTACTTTTTTATCTGCACAAAAAGAACGATAGGAAAAATCCAAACTTCGAACCAGTCTTAAAACATTTGGCTCCCATGCTAGTAACCTTTCTCTCCAGATACCATGGACTTCCAGCTGAATCAAGTGAAAGACTCTTCCAGCTGAAATGATCACTAGTCCCCAAGAACATGATAACATGAAAGTCGCTTCCTTACGGGGAAGAAGAAAAAAAAAACAAAAACAAAAACAAAAGAGGCTATACAATTCTTACCATACCCTTTTGCACTATTAAGGTAGAAGGACCTGGAAATGAATTAAAATAGTAGCCAATACTAAAAACCATTAACCATGGAACTGAAGCCTGCACATTTAATCATAACATACATTGTGAACTTCAAAAAAAAATTGCAAACCTGAAGGCAAACTAATTCTGTGTCCATCTTTAAGTTTTAAGCGGCTTCTTTTAAATTTGCCCTTCCTCTTCTTTACATTGGGTTTCTCTTGATTTAACTGGAATATCATGATATTCAGCTCACGTTCCAGTACATCGATCTCACGTTCTGCTAACTGTTGCTCACGGCGCTTAAGTAATTCTTCTTGAGATTTTTGCTGAAGAGCTGCTCTTGTCAACTCCTCTTCTCGTGATCGAAGCTCCTGAAGATAAGATTCACACAAGTGAAACTAAGTAATAACATGAAGTTTGTATTAAAGGATATATAACATGCAGAGTAGCTTGTATTTACTGATCTATTTTCATGATGTACCAGATGTGTGTAACATGCACATACGACCTTCTGACAGTCCTCCATTCTTCATAAGCCAAGACTCTGTATCTGGACACAATCAAGCATTATACAAATTTTCTTTTACCCATTTAACTTGAGTCAATTAAGGCACATAAGCATTGGCAATGGGGACAACCCATCCAATCAAAGATTATCAGTTTACAGCCCAGCACAAAATGTGCTCCAAGTACTTCACATCAGAAACTCCCACAGCATGAGGGCTGCTCTTAGATAGCTCCTATGCACTAACATAAAGTCAATGACCTGATGAATACACAAATGAATGCCTTTATCTTAACTATTCTAACCTTTCCTGTTTTTCAGACACGTATTAAGTAGCACTTTTCTATCTAGAAAAACAATCAGTATTACACTGGATGAGGATCGGTGTAACAGGATAAACCAAGTCGTAAGACAGAAGACAGCTGTTTCTTAATTAAAATCTAGCAGGTATCTGTATAACATCAAACAGCCACCAACCACTGAATTACACCACACAGACTCTCCAACCATCAATCCCACAGAAGAGTTGTTCTTCTCCCTTTATTCTTTTCTATTTTGGAGAAGAAAAAGCTTTAGTAAGGAAACTAGTTAATTTTTTCAGGGTAAATTAATCCCCAAAGGCTAAACAGCTGTAAACCTGCCATCTTAAAATTATCTTAATCTTCACCCTTCCAAAATCTGTTAAAACATATCTGAAATTTAAGTAAGCCTCCCTTCATAGTAACAGGGCATATTATACATAAAACAGACTTACTCAGAAGTCTTATAGTCAGTATTGCTAATAAAAGAGACTACAGGAAAAGGAGAACCTATGATGTGACTGACACTGTACATTTCTCACTACATAATTTTTTCCTTTACGTACACTTGTGTAAATTCTACCTGGATAAAGACTGAAATTCAATTAAAACTAGAAAACCAGCATTTGAAATTATGCTATGCTAAAAGTTCTGGATATACAAGAATCTTATTCCTATTTAAAATTCATTCATTTTGTTATGGTACAATTTTATAATGACGATGTCTTTTTTTTTTTTTTTTCCCCCTCCAGAGCAGACTGCCTAATTCTGCTCATCGCCATCCAGCAATGTTGTATGCCAGCACAATTCCTTATCACATACAGTGAAAGCAAAAAACTGGCTTTTCTGCTCTTTTTAACTCCCACTTTTGTCTTGAATAAATTAGTTCCTGAACTATACTACTTTGGTGTTTTCAAATGAGGGGAAAAGACCCTCTCCATTCTTGCCAAAAAGACTACGTATGACAAAAGACAGGTCAGCACTGAAGCAAACTGAGTCTGTGGGAAGTATCTCTTTCTTAGAAAGATCCTTGTTTTTTTTCTTTACAATTATGGCATACACACACTGCTTATCAATATTTTCAAATCTAATTGGAATGATAGACAAATTTCATACGGTTTGCTAATTTTGAGTGAGCTTGTTTCAACACACACACAAAAATTTATTTTAAATGCACTCTGTTTAGCATACACAGTTTCACAAAAGGTAACTCTGCCTCTTAGAAATTCAAAGGAGCCTGTCTTCACACCAGCAAGTAAGGTTTTGGGTTTTTTTTTGTTTGTTTGTTTGCTTTTTTGTTTGTGTTTTCTTAAAGAAACTTAATAACTTAATATAGAGACTGCTGCAAATTCTCACTTTCCTCCTCCCATCCAGTCAAAACTGGACAACCTAAAACAAAGGTTGGAAGCAGAAACTGCATGAATTAAAATTTTGAATAAAGGTACTTTAGAGTTTAAATAGAAAAGTTCTTTATTACTGTAATAAAGATGTATTAGGAGACACTGTTGATGATTCATCTCTTGTTGTCCTCAAATCCAGATTCCATAAAGCCGAGTAGGCAAAAATTGAGGGCCTGTATTGAAAAGGTACACACTCTAGAAAAAGTAGTAGTGCTTCTTCACTGAGAGATTAAGTATTTACTGTTTTCCAAATAAACTAATTAAAACCAGACTTACTGCAATTAGTTCTGCAATGTTTCTACACCACTCTACAATTAAAGCATCCATTGTAAGGAAGCTAGGAATGAATTTAGGTTGCTCAAGAATGTTTCTCAAAAGAAGATTGTGATCTTCTCTTGAAGTAGGTGTCACCACCACTCATTTACAGCAAGCCCTTGAGGAAATTCCTCCAGTTACATTAAGTTCCTCTTTAACAGAATCTGAGACTCCATGCAGGGTTTTTTTGTTTCTTTTATTATTATTATTATTATTATTATTATTATTATTATTATTATTATATAAATACTTCATATTCACAACTTTCTCCCTAATACCTGACAGTAAATTGGTAATGTGCCAAATTAAATAAGCCTGCACATATGAAAACCCTGTCTAAGTCAAAGTTACATGCTTCATTCTTAAACAATTTTACCTAATTAAGGCAGATGCCTTTGGAGAAGCATTTACTTTGGCATATGAGAAGTAAATTGCATTTTTTCTTTTGCTTTCCCTAATTAAGCTTAACTCACTTTTACACCAAAAATATGACTCCTTCTCTCAAAGCTTTGAACTGACTTATTTAATCCTAAATTTGATTTAGTCAGACTTTTCTTCAATAGGAAATCTCATACTGGACTAATGCCTTCAGAAAATAAAAATATAAACAAAAACCTGAATGGGAATGCCTGTTATAATTGCTCCCAGAGTAAAAAGGAGAAAATGGTAGGTTGAGCAGTTGTTGGAGGGGCAGAAAAGAGAGTTATGCCCTATGGTAGGCTGTGGCAAGTAAACACAGCAGCTGGTGACCCCACGGCAAGTAAAAAACTAAAGTCTCTAGTCTCTGTAGAGGGACTGTAACGCATCTGGAAAGGAGGCACACAGCCCAGCTCCAGCAACCTGTAAACTCACTGCAGGCAAGGTAGAGACTACACAGACAACACCTACCCAGTTCTGTGAATTGAAATGGAAGAGTGAAAAAGCAGAAGGTGGAAGAAAAGGCAGATAAGAAGTACATAAGATCATTATTGACAATACTGCAATCCTAGGGTGATCAATAAAATCTGATACCTCATATGCTGGTATTATAGTAGATCTGTAATGTCAGACCCATCACCATGCAACACTCCCCGAACAGCCATTTGTGACACTTGATGAGAAGTGGTGAGGGACAAAAGCTACTGATGGTGACTTCCAAGAGGAGAGTTTAGTTTTTGCTTTTGCCAAACTTAAGTGACTATGTCTTTTATAAAGGTTTCTTCACAAGGCACTGCAGCTCAATATGCTGCTTCTTCAACTGTTACCACTTCATGAAAAACAACAAATATATACTGGGCAATATTTATACTGAAATAAAGATCTACAAAGAAGGAATTTGTTTCTCCTAGAAGCATTTCTAACAGGGACTCGAGAGGACACCTGGCCTATTCCAACTGTTAACTTTATCAAGTCGTCTAAAGGAAAATATAAACCTCAGGGTGATTAAAAATTAGATGAAGTAACTAAAAGAGAGGGCAAAGAGAATGAACAGTGAGTGCTTATTTACCACATACATATCTTATGAGAATATGGAAAGAAGATCAGTGACAGGAATCGGGATAATAAAGAGAAATTGGATTTGCTGATTCATGAGTACAAGTTTGACCTAATCAATCTTATTAATATATGGTAAGAAGTTTTCCAAAACTGCAACACTGAAAGAGATCAGTATTATCAGTCTGTTCAGGAAGAAGAGAAATAAAAGCACTATTCCATTTTTGGAAAAGAAGCCATGTGATACAATCATATAACAGAATGAAAAGCTTTCATTCCCACAGCTGATGAGAGTGTTCAGCAGCAGCTGAAAATCTGCAGTGGTTATAAAGATTAGCTAAAGGGTAAATAAACTCGGCTTTGTTTGTTAAGCAGTGCATTCAAATATCCAAGAAGAGAAAAACATGATTTAAAGAGAGCCTACATGCCACATTTACAACCCATTTTCTTTGGGGAGACAGGTGCGGATATGTTTCTTTTTCAACTGCCTGTACTTTTTGAATAAGCCATTCATATGATAACACTCACTTACTACAATAACATTACACTTCCTGTCAAACTTAACATTTCACTTCAACTGAAATAACTCTAGCTATAGTTTCAGCATACAGAACTGTTTGTTGGTTTTGTTAAGGAAGAAAGGGGGAAAGCAATGTTGTCTGAAATTTGAGAAAACCAGTATTCAAACATTTTTTCTAAACTAAGTTTGCTGCAAGACAGTTCCAGGGTTATCTATACTGTCCAGAAGCATATTAATGCAATTTAAGAATAGTACATCCACCATCAAGAATAGGCAACTTAATTTAATAATGTTTTAATGGAAGAGTAAATCCTCTCTTCCAAGTAGTTTATCCTCTCAAGTGTATCTCCACTACTAAATCAGGTTTCTAGTAATCCGCAATTTAGAAGTTCAAAACTGCTGTATTACATAAACGTGCATACACACATACCCTTCCTTCACTGCCATGTAATTGGAAGAATCAACTTACTTTTTCCTTGGTCCTCAATTCATTGAATATCTGCTGAATTTCCAATTTCCAGTCATCTTGCATGGAATGGAAAGACTCTTGAGGCATTTCAGTCATAACTGCCCCTTCGATGGCAGTAAGCTGTTCAAGAATTAAGGCAAACGATGGTCGGATATGAGGGTCCTGCTCCCAGCATTCTAGAATTTATTAAAATCCCATCAGTTTTTAATAGCACATAGAACTTTTTGAAGAACTACATGAATTTTGAGTTACTCGCTACTGTACTTCCAAGTTCTAAAGTGTTCCCTTTTACCTGCAGGGCTTCCCTAGTTCTGTTTTCATTTACACAAGTGACATCTACTAACCTGTACACAGAAGACTGTTTTTATATTAATAGTCAAGTCTTTTTTCATCTCTGTCATTACGGTCTGAAATAGCAAAAGTAGCAGTACTACACAGAAGGGATACTTATTAAAGGTAAATAAAATTATTAAACACAAGGAAATAGCCATTAGCAAGCAATGTTTATTTCTCTCTAAAGTAGGTCTAAAACATTTTTGACACCCAGGAAGAAACAATGAGAAAAAAATGGCATTTGCAGTTCTTCCCCTTGAGATTTTAATCTTGATCTTGTATTGATCTGTAGTATATCCTGTAGTTTATGAAAATTAATGCAATTTGAGTGTAAAAGGAAATCAGTAAAACCAGAGAAAAAAAAGGTACTCGGTCACTACTGAAGAACTTATGTGGTACACAGCAGTACTGTATGACTTCCTCAGAAACACATTCAACTGTGTCTAACATCAGATTGCTGTGTAAAGAGAAACAGAATACTTTGTACACAACACAGTATCAAATGAAGTGTGCCACATGCAGCCACATGACTATTATAGGCAAGGATATATGCCCCCAAAATATAGCTATTTAAATACATAGGAAGAAACAACAGAGGTACCTTTCATTAGTTTTGCAAATGGTTCAGGGCAGGTGGATGGAATGGGCAAAGTAAGCTTATTGACAGCAACTCCGTAAGCCACAGCAAGGCCATCAATGCCACGGTAAGGAACTTCTCCTGTAAGCAGTTCCCACAGCAACACTCCATAACTACAAAAGGTAATTTTTTGAACGGTTATTTTCTGAATACTGACACATTGTTTACTCAAGAACAAACAAGCATCAGTCCAACCATGTACTGAAATTCATGAAGATTTCCCATGTCAAAGACAAGTGCCTTTAAGAGTCAGCTCTACTTTAGTCATCTTGCACCTTTTCACTAATAGCAATTAACCAAAATGGATATGACTAAGACTGGATTGCATTCCTATTCAAAATATAACCTGATGTCACTTTTATAGAAATACCAGGATCATGTACATCTCTCTCACAGTCAGAAGTCTGAATGACAGGAAAGCAAGCAACCTTCTCCCCGATAAAAACCAACCAACCAACACAAAAAAAGAAAACCTCAGCAGAGCATTCAGGCCATTCCATTCCCCTTTCCAAACATTTCACAACAATTTACCTAGATGATTTTTAAAAAATAATAGTAACAAAAAACACCAGAAAAGCTCCAGCTTTGTTTGTAAGTTTGCATTTCTAACCCCTTGTGTGTTATATGAAGGCCTATTAACTTTTCACCTCCCACAGAAGATGCAACAAGATTGAAAATGATTATACACACACACACCCCCCCCTAATTTCTCTGTACTAGAAAAGGAAACCAACAAAACGACACTGTCTCCAGTGAAAGGTGTTGGCATGAAGAGATCTTCTCTCACCATCAGGTGCAGAAATCAAGAATCATAGTAATTCTTATTACAGCCACATTAATGGTAAGAATTTCTGCTATGCTCGCCACTCTAGAAGAGCTGGGTGTTACTTTTACCTTGAGTCTGTATTGCCTGACACCTGGCTTGCTCAAACAATCCAAGCCTCTGCAAAGGTCTGGGACAGCATGCTCGCTGCTGCTGCTCTAGAGTTCCTATTCCACCAATACTGAAATGGATAGCTTTCACTGTTGTTTTTGTGGAAGCAGGAATTTCTCTTTTTAGAATATCCTAAAGTGGACTTTATGACTGGGTTTGGTCCCACCCCTGTCCCTTTTCCCCCCCTTCTTTTCCTGCCAGGGAACCACTATCTGTAGAACAAGGATACAAAGAACAGTCTATTGCTGCTTTTGAATAGTAAAGTGAGTGGGCAATGGGAAAAAAACAGAATACAAAATACTGCTCTTACCATTTCTCTCCAAGCATGTGAGGGAAATACCTGCAAGTTTTGCAAGACTGGACTGGACTCTCCTACATGAGGAGAAATGTGTACAGCAAATGTACCCCTTCCCTTACTATGCATCCCTTAGTACTAGAAATACCACCTTAACTACAGCAGACATGACAGGGAGAAGAACACACACTAGTTAATTTTTTCTATCACTTTCTCCTTAATGAGAAAAAGTCACTGAACATTATACAAGACCTCTGAACATCACTTAAATAATAAAACCAGCAAACTACACCATATCAGCACAAATATCAGCAGTTTTGTTTATCTACATTTTGTTTACCTATGAAGTTTTTATGATAGACTAATCTTGGAAAAAATAATGAATTCAGTGCTAACAGTTAATCAAAATCTGAGGAATACAGTCAATTCCCCCCCAAAAGTAAAGAGAATAAAAAAGTTTTGGGCTTCTTAATTTCCTCCCAGTTTTTTCCAGTTTAATCTCTGCACTTGCTTGTATACTCAAAGAAGGATAATTAATTCCAATTTATTTTAGATCAGTGGTACTTCTAACAATAATGAGTACAACACTTCGTGCAGTACATTTTATCAACAATGGAGAAATTCTACTGAACTACATCTCATCTGTGTGCTTAAAGAAACTGTAAAAATAGTGGTTTGCTCTCTCAGAAAGCAGTGTTCTTAATTCAAGGAATTCCCTCGTTTGGATTATTCCATACATATTTTAGTATGAACTCTTAAGTTAAGCAGAACAATCAATTTAACTAAAAAGAAATCATCTTTTATAAAACATGTCGCACTATTAGCTTTAGTTATATTTACAATTCAAGCCTTTAATCCTAAGTAGTTCTCAACAGTGCCAAGAAGGTGGTTGTAAAATTTTAAACAGGCCAATGCAGTAATAGCCTGAAAGCAACTCTTTTAATGAAAGCAGTCTTAATATCAAGTAGCAAGAGTCAGCGCTGTAGGGGGAAAACTGTGGGGAAAACACAAAAGACATTCTAGTCCTGCCATGCTGGAGTTTTTGGGAGGTACTAATCTATGGTTTTCTAGGACAACAACTACTTATTAACTCCCACAACTTACAGAAGTAGCTACTTTATGTACTAAATTTCACCAGCCCACATACAGTTGTCCTATGTACACAGTCAGGGCTTCTAAGAAATATCTTTTTTTTTTTTAAAAAAAGAGCAAAAGCCATGTCCTTCTCCATCTTCAGCAAAAGGCAACAAAAGCACGCATAATATGCTTGAATTATACATTTTAAAACCATAAAAACTAATACACTTTCAGAAAGATGTCCTTTTAAGTATTTTCATGATTAAAAATTAATCTCCTGCTGTCAAATGTGATTTAAGCCTTAATGTATCTCATTCCAGCAATAACTTGCTGATTTTGCGTATTTTAAAAGCTGATAACAATTAAGGTGAAGTTGTCAAAGTTTATTTTACTCTACCTTCTAAAGCTGAGGTTACTAAGCATTGCTACATGAATCACTTCAAAATTATACAAATGTGCCAGGCAAAAGCAGCTGCTAATTGTGCTGTACAGTAAGCGCTTCCTAGCTTTGCCAAGAGTTTATACAATGGAAGCATGCATTACTGTAAAGACCACTGCTGAAGCACATCATCAGCACTTGGAAATCTGTGGGCATATTTGCACTTTCAGGCTCCATACACAAAACCAAGACTGACATACCACTAAGAAATGTGTGATGATCAATGGAGGGGTAGGGCTGAAAGAGCAGAATTCTTGTTTGGGAATTTGTAAGCATATGCCAAAGAACAATAAATGCAGAATTATAACATTGGTTTGGGAAGCAACAGGATACACACGCAGGGCCTGGAAAGCACCAATTCTGCTGTCTAAGATGACAACTGAGAACATACAGCTGGAAGCCTCTGCATGAAAATACTCCCACAACATTTCCAATCACTGCCTGATTCTGGAAGACTAGCGGCAAGTGTGAGTATACTCGAGCAGCCTCAACTGCTTTTTTTTTTTTTTTTTTTTTTTTTTTTTTTTTTTTTCTCTCTAATAAGAGGTCTACAGATTTCCTTTGGAGATTCAGTACTCAGTATGCCTAACTGAAGTTTAGAACTTTCCTGAAATATAGTGTTCTTATCCTAGACAGACCCATACTTAAATTTGAAACCTGAACGCTTTTAAAACTGAAACCACTCCTATAACCAGTGTATTATTTATTTGATTTTTCTTTTAAAGAAAGAGTAAAGATAAGCAACAGAATAGATCAAGGTGCAGCAAGCAGAAAATCTTTAGAAGCCAAGAGGGTCTAAACTATACTGTACAACACAGCCTTTCTACTTAAAAACCTCTCCTGTTAGACGTCCATCATTGAGCTAAATACTTACATTTTTACAAGAGAGGCGTGCAGGAGAGAAGGCGAGGAAGAGAAATACTGTAGGTTCCAAAAATGTAAACTAATGTTGCAGCAGAATATAAAATAATTGCACCAAAGCATACCCCCTCAGATACCTAAAATCACAGCAACAAGACTGGACAGGACCTGTAATTAAGCATGGAATACAGCTGATTAGGGAAACGCCTACACCCAACCTCCACCCCGCAAAAGAAAAAAAAAAATGAAAGAAAAAAGAAAGAAAGAATGGGAAAAAAGAATGAAGCCAAAGATGTTTCTCAACTGGTCATCAACTCATACTGATGTAAACAAAATGCTGAAAATCGGTTCCAGACACAAGACAAATGAGTGTCACAAAACAGTAGTGCAGATACAGAATCATCCTGAAGAATACCAAAAGCATTACTTCATGCTGTAGAATATCAGGCATCTAAGCAAAATAGCACTCTATTTAAGAATTATACAACACAGAACATGCATAAAAGTCATGAGAAAACAGATTAAAGTCCTCCCCTCCTTCCCCAAATAGCTATCTTGGATCCTTCAGAGAGAAAATATTTCAAAAAGAAAGGAAATGTAGACTTTTCAGGGTGAGGCACAGCAGCATTTACAGCCTATTGTGCAATCACTATTTTTCCCCACTCACAAAATAGAACTAAATTAAAACTAAAGTTTAAATTAGTTTTCTACAATACATGTATCCCACCCTACACCACTCAAAAATATCATCAGTATCAAGAGCCACATTATTTATACGATTCACAATAACGTCTTTAACAAGAAATTCAGAAGTTTAACATAGGGAGTTCCCCACCTTTAAAATTAGAGAGCGAGTTAAAACAATTTTGTGCTGAATATACTCTCCTCACTCCAGCTACTGGAAGCGAAATCTCTATAAATGTAAAAGCTTAGATCTGATGTTCACTTTTACACAGGATCACATTCTCGACTCTTAAAACTAGCACTAATTTAAGTTAACATTTGGAAAAGTTCTGGTTTGCCACTTATTTTTCAGACATATAAGGTAATAACTGTCTGGTCCCATTTCTTTATGCAGAATGAGACTTTTCAGACATCTGTTACAAGGTAAACATACCAATACAAGATCAATCATATGTTAATGTATCAGGAGCTGCTTAGATTAAGAGGCTAGATAAAATACTTTGGTATCTTAACCAATAGATATTTTAAAGGTTTCTCTTAATGAGATCTTGGGTTCTTTTAAAAAAGAATAAACGTTTTATGTTATTTTCCCTCTCCCTCCCCCAATTTGTAAGTCATGAATTGCAAGTCAAATGATGTAGATGCTGAGAAATGAGTATGTTTCTTAGAACAGCTATGCTTGTCATGGGTTAAGACAATAACCTAGGAAACCACCAAAAAAACCCCCAATCAAATAAAAATTAATTCAAAAACCTCAACATAGTTCTACTAAACATGGTCTTCAGCAGACAAACTTACCTCCAAATATCACTTCCTTTAGAAAACATGGAGGACTTGATAACTTCTGGAGCCATCCACGCGTAAGTCCCTGCTGCACTCATTTTGGTTGTTCTGTGCCACTCTCTAGCCAGACCAAAGTCTGTAATCTTCAGAGTTTTATTACAAATGTCATCATGTTCCATCTTCTCTAGCAATAAAACTGAAAAAGATTTAGTTTGTAAATTAACATAATGAAATCAAATCAAAATACCCAGTCCTGTTACAAATTTCGCATACTTGTACTGCACAGATAATTGTATATTTTAAATGCTGTGAAAATATTATTGCAATTTTTATAACCATGAAAAAGATTTTTTGCTATTCTAAGCTATAAGAGCAAGAAACAACTACAGTGTTATGAGTTCTTTATGCAACTGTGTGAGTAGATATTAAACTAGCACAAGAGATCCACTGTAAAGAGATGTAAAGTAAAGCATGTAAGTTTAAGAAAGCCCAGAATCCTAACATCCCACAGATGATGGCAGGCTATGGAAAAGGTATTCACTCTGGAATGAAATTCTGAAGTAAGAAAAATAGCAATAGTAGTACAACAAAAACAAATGTTAAGAATTTTTACAAAAGACTTAGAAAACAAAGTGGGACACATTATATCACTGTAGAAAATCCATCCTTAATACTGCACTCAGTCCTGGCTCCTCCTCATCTCGACAAGCATGTAACAGAACTGAAAGAGTCCTGGAGAAAGACACAACCAGGGTGCTCAAAACACCATATTCACAGCTACAGGGAATGGTTAATAGACAAGGAGTCTTCCCCCAGGAAAAGAAACATCCAAGAACAGAATCTGTAACACCACCTATGGAATGAGGAAAGCTATAGGTAACAACTGTTTACCATTTCTCAACACAAGAAATGGGCATCATTGAACAAAATTAGCAGATAAGAATCAAACACGTGGCAGTTGTTCATACAACACACAGGTAGGTGAACTTTGGAATTCTTGGCATAGCACATGAATACTACTATTTTACATGGATTTTAAAAGCACCTATGCAAATTCATGGCAGAAAACTTTATAAAAAACGATTTATATCAAAAAATTAAATGGTTTAAATTCAAGAAATCCCTGGGCCCACAAATGGTACAAGTTGGGAGACTATCTATGACTGGGGGTAAGCTTGCCTTGGGAGTCCCCAGCCAGCAACAGAGCACTGGACTTGGATCAAATCCATGTTACATTATATCCACTGCACCTTCACTGACCTTAAAGAGTAAATTATCTTTTTTTGCTTTTGCATCCTACAGTGTTTATTCAGTGTCTGACTTGTTTGTAACACAACAGTATAGACAGAGTTGCAACACACCTTCACAAAATAATGTTAAAAGAGAACTGGGTTATTGTGTTAGAGCTCACAAGGAGAAAGACAACAGATGAAAAGGAATCATTATTAACACACCATAATTTTAATTCCATATTCAGTTCCTGTGTCACTGTCTGTTAGCTTTAACTTTCTGTTAAAATGATCTCCTGGGACAAAGATCAAAGGTTAAATCACAAATGGGAAGAATCATAAAAAGCATGTGTTTTCCAACTATATGTACAGCAAAACACAGTACAGGGAACTATTAATTAAAAAAGCAGATAACTACCTTTACTTACAGAGGAAAAACTAAAGACCTTGAAATTGCAATAAATCATTTTTACTGGTACAGATTAATTACACTCTTACAAATATTTCAAAAATGACATCAAATCCAGATGAAAAAGAGAACCCACATTCCATTTGCAGTAAGCTTCTTAACACAGAGTAGAAGAAATGCAGGCCAAAATAGTACAGATAAATCAAGAGCTCACCAGTCAGCACCCCCAGAACAAGTTAAATTTCATGCAAGAGTTTTTATACTTTTATACTAGAATCAAAGACCTATTGTTTGCTATTCCATTTCAAACATGTTCAGCAGAATTCCTGACATTCCTTGTCAGTCAATGTGACCGAAACCAAAAACAGTCAGTCTTGCAAAAGGTAATAACTGGCATGTGACCAAGTTTCATCCTACAAAGGGACAACATTTCTTAGCGGTTCAAACTTCCCCTTCCGGCCGGTAGCCAGGAAAACAGCAATACTATACACAGATTACTTAGCAGCTGGGTAGTAAAAATGCTGAGCATAGCCTAGTAGTGTTCCATAAGTGCTTCCTTCGCAGTAGCCTAGCAACCTTTACTATAGCATCCTCCTGCCACTTCCACAGCTTCCCAGCCCTTGCCGGCTCCTAACCTCTGAGAAGTCATTTTACAATCTCGTGCTTACCCTGTTCACTCAGCCCCCACTTGTTTCTTTTTCAAATCCTTTAAATTGTCTTTTCAGGCTCCAATAATTATGTTAAATAATAATGCAATGTTAAGTTGGGTAATAGCCAGTTTAGCACTTTTTGGTTTACCTTAACATTTTTCAAACTTGTTATTTTCCACAAAGAGCAAAATTTATACTTACATTAGTTCCATCCTTCTGGCAAACACATTCTAAAATATTTAAAAGTACAAAGCCCATTTGAAAATAAATTCAAACCTACCAAAAAACCCCCAAAATTAGATTAGGAATGCAGAAGTGCAGGAAAATCCTATGCCCACCTCATTTATTTTGACATAAGCAAAACCAGAGACTATGACTATTTCTGAATGATTCAGAATCTGAGAAAAGGAGACTAAGTTGGATGTGAGAAGACTACTTTGTGCAAACTAGCATAAAACTTCACCTTAGACTGTTATTCAACCACATGCTATAGTTAGAAATAAACATTCGACTAAGGCCATGTATGTTTCCTACCAGTTACATAATTTTCAGCTCAATTCTAACACACCTCGTTTTGTGACTATACCTTTCTGCAATGAGATCAATGGGAAAGTAAATTTATTAACATCATAGCAGCAGAGATTAGGGTGCCATACACTGGGCACTCTGAATAAAAGTGACAGCACATGCCCAGAACCATTTACAGCTAGAGAACAAAGAGATGTTATTGCATGTTATTTTCAGTAATTCCCTTAAATATAAATCAGTAGGTTCAAGATAAAAGCAAAAAAAATTCCTTTAATCTGAGAAAAAAAATGAAAAAATAAAAATGCTATGTGGTAAAGTGGTACTGAAATTGGTGGATGTCCTAAAAATGAAAGAAACTTTTGACAACGCAGCAAGCATACATGAGGATTCTAACAGCATCCCTAGCAAAGCTACTGTTACTTAACCATAGAGATGAAAAAACCATACACTCTTAAGTTGTCTAATGTAACTAAAATGAACATGGAAATCCAAGTATTACTCATCCTAGCTCACTGAAGGAAACAGCTCATAGAACAATGAAATAATTTAGGTTCGAACAGACTTCAGGATGTCAAACCACCCCCCTCAGAGAAGGGCTGATGTTGTAAAAAGTGTAAATCTCCTATCAAACATTTTTATGAATCTGTAAAGTTATGGCACTATGAAAGAATAAAAGTAAAACATTATCTATATTCAAAACAACTGTATTGTATTCACTCAACTACAGACATAAATTTGTCACCTTAGAATAGATTTTTAAGAAAACTAATTAAGGACAGTAATTAGGGACATCAAGGAATAGAAGAAGCAGCAAAATTATAGCAGAGTTCCATTACAAACAGCTCATGTCACAGTAATCCCATTTTGTCCTGATAGGTGGTTTCTTAGAAAGGGATAAGGTAGCACACTTGAGTAGATATGAGTACTTCTTAGGAAGTTTAATCATACAGGCAGAATAAGCATTAATCAAAGAATTCTGTACAGCAGTTACATGAAGAAAAATCTTAAGAAACAAGTTATCAGGATGAAAAGGCATCATCAATAAGAAGCATGTTTTCTTCAAATGCTTATGTGTAATCAGAGTAAAAACAAGGTGTGTTTCAAGAACTGACAGTACAGTTAGAAGATACTGCCCACTCTGAAGACAACCAGATCATCATATTAAGAAAACATACAAAGTTGGATGGGATCATTCACAAAACTTACAGCTATAAAGCAAAGTTGAAGGAAGAAGTGGACAACTAGTCTGGCTAACAGAAGGAAAACCAAACCAGCATTTACACATAGTTGCGCAACTAGCTCATGCAATTCTAAAAGGCACTAAAAAAGGCTTTTTTTAGTAGAAACAGGGAAGTATCAATAAAATTGTACAAAGAATAAGACCTTATATGAAATACTAGAACTGCATGTGTTCAATAACAGGAACTTAAACTGGAGCAGATGCAGAAAATAGAAGTAGAATAGTTTAGGAACCTGTAATGTCTTTTATATTGACAAATCAGAATAGCTTGTCCTTTTTTCTAGGCTAAACAAATGTTGAGAACAGTTGTAAGAACAGAAGTTAGCCATATCTATAAACATGATGCAGACCTACAGCACTAGTGCTCTTACTGATAAAATATATCTTAGGTGTCCTGGCTCATCCGTCTTACAGGTATGCTCACGATTAAACTCAGTTCTAGATCTGGATCTAGATCTAGGGTGGGGAGTCATATCAGATTTCAGGATATTGTCTCTTTTTCCCCACCCCCCTTTTGGTGCTTCTCTGCAATGTAAAGCACAGTTTACTCCTCATAAAAGTCACAAGATACAACATACACACCTGTGAAACCTAATGGTTACTGAAATAGCAATGCCATTAATCTTTCCTGCTTGCTTTCTGCATTATCATAACTACAGCTGGATTCATTTTCTACTAATCTTATGGCACCCTTCAAGTATTTTGTGGGGTAACAGTATGCAGACAAGATGTTTTGCACACTTAAAAAAACTAAAATCTATCACACAGTTGCCCAAGACTTCAACAGAACTGGACCTGCTGAGCCAGCTGGCACTTCCCAAGTCTGTGTTCCTCTAATTAAAACAGAACCAGCAATTTCTCTGTTGAATCACTACTGTACCCATACAAGCTGTTCTCAGTCAAGAAAGGCACACAATTTAGGCTTGAAAAGGAGGCAGAAGTCCCAGCAAAATCCCACTCAAAGGTTCCTAGTCCCCACCCTTTCCCGCTCCATCCCCTTCCCAGCACTGCAAACTCTCGCCTGTGGCAGCAACACTTGCTTTGAGCTACTGAGCAAAAGGTAAGAGATCAACTGCAGCAGCTCAGGTTAAGATGCATAAAATGGCAGTCAGATCTGGCCAGATTTGGAACAGAGCTGC